CCTGAGAACCCCTTTCTCTCTGCCCCAGAATGTGGCCTGAGCCTGGGGTGATGGCTGGCCCAGCCTCCTCCTGTCACTCTAGAGAAGGGACCCGCGGTCTTCATCTTTCCCAAACATTGGAGACTTTCTTCTCATCTTTTCCTCCTACTCTACCAAGGGAGAAAGAACCCCACATGCAAAGTCCACTGGATTTAAATTCCATGCTCTGACAGCCTTCCAACTTCAAGTTTACAACTCAGTATCTATGACATTCAACTTAAAACAAATTACATTCACTTATCTAACTCAGGGCCAGTAAGGGCTGTGAGAACATCAAAATGTTGTATCTCAGAAACCCTGAATGCTTGAATTTTGTGTCCACTGTTGTTTCCAGCAGTTCTTTAGAGCTAAATAATTAATTATACCCAAGACGGTCCAAAGCAATTATTTAATTAAGCTTATTATAGGCTGCCAATTGTTTGCAGTAAAGGGAAGGCCTTCATCTTGATTTCTCAACATCTGGCCTTTGGATGACTTAAAAGATAAAAGAAGATAAGGGAATATTTTTACGACTAAGTAACAATTACTAGAAGTATTCCACTAAGTAGAAAAACTTTTTCAGTAATTTGCTTCTCATGATTAGAACGTGGTGACATGTTTTACAGTAAGTGTTCAGCTTATTTAGATGCAATGTAAAATTGAAAATGTTGCAATACAAAATGAAATGTTACTGCCATTTTCTTTTTAGGGCAGAATTGATGGTATTCATTTCCACTTTCCCCTTGCCTGTTTTCGTTTTTTTGTTTTTGAGAGGGAATCTCATTCTGCCACCCAGGCTGGAGTACAGAGGCACATCTTGGCTTACTGTAACCTCTGCCTCCTGGGTTCAAGCGATTCTCCCACCTCAGCCTCCCGAGTAGCTGGGACTACAGGTGCGTGCCACCACACCCAGCTACTTCTTGTATTTCTAATAGAGATGGAGTTTTGCGATGTTGTCCAGGCTGGTCTTGAACTGTTGACCACAGGTGATCCACCTATCTCAGCCTCCCAAAGTGCTAGAATTACAGGCATGAACCACTGCAGCCGGCCTCCCTTTGCCTATTTTTTAAAGTTCGCGTCCTTAATTTAGGCTTTTAAAACTCAACTTTAATAAACAAAAATCCTCTCCTACCTATTCCAAAGTTAGAAGTCTACATTTTATTTCATAAAGAACATCTTAGAGAAAGAGACACAAGCCACTCCACAGAGTTGTTGACCAAAGTAATTCCTGAGTGATCTGTTTGGTGATACACATGGACACCAGTGTGGAGGAAGACAATACTTCATAGAATGACTTTTAGTCAATCTGGCCTTTGGATGACTTAAAAGGAGACATGAGAACATTTTCATGACTAAGTAACAATTTCTACAAATTTGGGATTTGAAAATATCAAAAAACGTTTTAGTTGCTCCAAACCACATTGGACTCCCTCTTCTCTGAAGCATTAAGTTTTATGGTTCTTTCAATGCACATCTTAGCTCTCATGTGATTTCTAATTGTCCCAGGTATCTCGATGCTTCCTTGTCTATTAGGATACAAGCATCCTGAGCATGATAGATCTGTTTCTCCCATTGCCCATAACAACTCATAAAACAGGATTGGTAGAGTAAGCCAGCTAAATAATAGTGAGTTGATTAGTCCGTATTTGCTTACCGGTTGTGTTCAGAATAGATACTTGACTAACTCAAGCCTCTTCCTTCCGTATCGTTTGAGCGTTGAGATACTGTCAATCAATTTTTTTTTTTTTTTTTTGAGACAGAGTCTCCCTCTGTCACCAGGCTGTGCGATCTCGGCTCACTGCAAGATCCGCCTCCCAGGTTCACACCATTCTCCTGCCTCAGCCTCCAGAGAAGCTGGGACTACAGGTGCCCGCCACCACACCCAGCTAATTTTTTTGTATTTTTTTTTTTACTAGAGTTGGGGTTTCACCGTGTTAACCAGGATGGTCTCGATCTCCTGACCTCGTGATCCGCCCATCTCAGCCTCCCAAAGTGCTGGGATTACAGGCATGAGCCACCATGCCCGACCTGTCAATCTATTAAAATTTAAGTGTTGTTAAATACTACCTATGAATGAGCCATCAATGAGCATAGGATAATAAATGACTGAACAAATAGGTGAGCAGTAATGAATGACATAGGAACACCTTACACAGTCCCTTCTTTGGAAAGAAGCTTAGATTGAGGAAAACTCATGGAGTTTGCAGCTTGACCAGCTATTCCTCGAGGATTGATGTATACCTAGATCCTTGGGTTGCTGTAATATAAATTATATATTAGAACTAATTGTATGTTATAATAATACATATTATTATATATTGTATATAATTATATATTAGAACTAATGCCCTAAACCTCATTTCCATCTCTGTAGACCTCATCCTCAGTCCTGAATTTGCTAAAATAATCTGCAAAATTTTGTGGTTATGTATGTTGGGGCTCAGAAACTGATACTCCAAAACATGACTCTTTGACACGCTGAACTGTAGAAAAACCCTCAAGGTCTCTCTGGCCCCTGGCACCCACCTTCACCCCATCTCTGTCTCTCCCAAAGCACAGGATGAAGTTGTTCTCTGAAGTTCCTTTATCTCCCTAAACTGGACACCCTCCAAAAAAGAAATCAACTACCTTGGTCCCTCTCTGAGTTTTCATTAACTCATGTCACAGGAAGAAAGACTGAAGCCTGTGGACACATCCGCAGACTTTTGTCATAAACAATCGTCTGCTCTGCGGGCCCAACAGACTTTGTCCCAGGCCACTGTGTGTTCTTCAAGCCCAGTGAATTCCCCTAAAAATCACTTATTCACCCCCTAAAATTATCCATACTTCTCTCCCTTTCGCCTAAGAAGAAGGGTCTATAACCGTCTGTACCCCCAGTGAGCAATCATTCTTCTACAATTCACCTGTGCTATGCATGTTAAAATAAACTTGTATGCCTTTTCTCACATAATATGTCTGCCTTTTGTCAGTTGATTTGTAGTGAACTTTCAGAGGGCAAGAGGGGAAATTTTCCCTTAGCCCCTACAGGTATGGATGTGAATTATTCTAGGGAGAGTCTGAGGAGGTTCATGTCTCACAAAAGGTTAGTAGTCACTGTATTAGAAGGGTCCATTTCCAGTCAGATGAAATTTGCGTGAAAATTTTGTGTCTTTCCAAAGTGGAGAGATAGTGGTCACCTTGCTAAATAACATAAGGTACTAGACACGTGGGAATTCAGAGCTGCCAGTTTGCTGTTACCCTAATTGTTATTTCTCCAGAGAAGACCTTTCTCTCAACATCAGGAAGCACCTTTTAAATTAAAGCACTTCACTGCCCCACCATAGGAAAGAGAGAAATGAAAACCAAGCTGCAGGCCAAGGTTCCCATCGTTTGAAGGAACCCGACAGCCCAAGGCTAGCATTACTCATTTCCAGGGAGTAGGACGTGGCCTTAGCCGTGAGCTCCAGAAGGTCAGACATGTCATGGTCCATGGCTAAATGTCACCTTCTGTCTCTGCAAGTTAGAGTCTTCAGCAAATTTGTCCATTTTTAGAAAGAATCTATGCTTTTATGCCCAAACCTAAAGGTTGTCTCAAAAGGTTCTTTCTTAGTTATTGTCATTCCCAGAAATGTATTTATATTATTCATGCTATATTTTGTATCACAGAGCCATGAGTGACCAGTATTCCTATGAGCAGATGGGTTAACAAAATACGGAACTTTCCTGAAATTGTCAGTCTTCTGATTAACATGTTAACAAACGCCTAATCCATGGATCTGCCCTTATTAATAGTAAAGAGAGCTACCACCTCTCAAGCACTGAGTTGGGGCCTCCCCTGGGCTAAGTGTTTTGACTCAATGACGTAGCAACCCTGAGAAGTAGGTACCATTATCCTCATTTTACAGGTGAAGAAACCAGGGCTGAAAGAGACTAAGAAAGTTAAGGTTACAAAACTAGTAAGTAACAAAATGGAACTCAAACCCAGAGCGCTTCCAGACTCCAGAGGCCACCCTTGCAACATTGAGACTGACACTTCTCTCTGTAGTGTTCCTCGATTCCAGAAAAAGCTGAACACAGGATCCAGAGGCCAGACCTGAGCCTCCAAGAAGCAGTGCTAATGCTCTGTGTACTTAAGTGGGTTCTTTTATGCACACATCTCCCACAAATTAAATAAGTAAATAAAAAATATAAATTTGTACTCATGCTTATAATTCCATCAAATATTTAGGGAATAGGGCTGATCAGGATAAATAATTAGATCTAGGAATTGTCATTTCATAAAAAGATTTCCTAATGACTTTTGGAGCAACTTGGATGGAACTAGGGCCATTATTCTAAGTGAAGTAACTCAGGAATTGAAAACCAAATATGGCATTTTCTGGCTTCTAAGTGGGAAGTAAGCTCTGGGTCCACAAAGGCATCCAGAGTAATATAATGGACATTGGAGACTCAGAAGAGGGAGGCCAAGAGGTGGGGGAGGGATGAAAGACTACCTACGGGGTACAGTGTACACTACTCGGATGACAGGTACACTAAAATCCTAGACTTCACCATTACACAATTTATCCACATAACCAAAAGCTACTGTACCCCTGAGGTTACTGAAATCTTTTAAAAAGTTAAACATTTCCCTTTTGCCATGTGGCTGCTAATTCAGATACAGTTATCTTTTAAGCAGTTGAAACATCTTTTTCCTCATTCTTCTTCCCGGCAATATATCTTTGAGACATAAAAAGTGATAAAAACATACAAAAGCAAAAGGCACTGTATTCTTTACCATAAAATATTTCAAACAAAAGACAATTCCTAGGTTAACTTTCCAAAAGATTTGCGAAATGAATCAATGCAGACATATGTCACAGAAATGTCCTTTCTGATTAAAATCTGAGAATATAAATAAATTGGTGTTTCTTTTTTCATTCTCTCTCTTAAGAGCTGTGTCTTAGCCATAAACAAGAAGCTGCCCTTAAAATTATATTTTTTTCTTATTTATTTTTCAACAGGGGACTTATTATGTTTGAAAATGAAACCTATGTCTTAGAACCAATGAAAAATTCAACCAACAGATACAAACTCTTCCCAGCAAAGAACCTGAAAAGCATCTGGGGATCATGTGGATCACATCACAGCACATCAAGCCTCACGGCAGATCATGTGTTCCCACCGCCCTCTCAGACATGGGCCAGAAGGGTAAGAGGGACACCCGATTTTGTGTTTCTGGGAAGCTAGGAGCTCAAGCTATGGATACCCAATACTATGATATCTGGAGAAATGTTGCCATCTAGGTGCTGTGGCATCTGGGGGATGGAAGTACCCAGTTTATCTGGAGGTGGTAGACATTATACAGTGGAGCTCAACCATAACCCAAATCCCCATCACTGTATTGGAGATGTCAGCCTCAGACTCATTAAAATATGCTGGGTGAAGTCACATAGTGGGGATCAGAGGATGACAAAATCACCATTCATGAAAACTCCCAAGAGACCCTATTATGGTCCTAGGCCCAGGGTTGGGCCCCACCATGGCAAGCAAGACAAGATTGGACCCTGACCTACTCTCTAGCAGCTCTCCATCTACTGGAGGCAAAAGACCACACAGAGCCTTCTTTATGAGCAAGTTTGGGTTCTTACTGTAATTCGCACAGAATTCTCACTCTTTGCCCACACACTTATGCAGAGGCGAATAGGGCCTTCCTCCACGTGGTGTGCCTCAGGAATCTTGCTTACCCACAGTCCCAGCTGCGAATGCTTGTCCTAGCAGTCTGTGTTTTCTGGCCACCAGCCCCTGGATCTGCTCATAAAATGTCTTCCTTTTTGCAGCAGCACTGGAAAGAGTAGTTGCCTAAGGGAGTCTGTGCTGTAGTCTTCCCTTCCTGACACGTGGAGTGTCCCACCATGAAACCTCCACCCCTAAGGGCGGCCTGCCCTTTTTCTGTCTGGCATTATGTGGGCACCAGAGGCCACAGTAGAACTCTGTTAACAAGAATTAAAGGCGATCATTCCCAACATTTGGCTGGAGGCTCTGAATTTAAATGAGCAGAAACAGATAGGAAATTATCAACAATTTCCTGGTGTTTCATTTCTGGATTTCCTGTTCCTCTGTGGACAAGAAATCAAGAAAATTTATAGATAGGATGTCACTTGTGCTTATATTTGACTGTCCGGGAACATTTCTTCCAGGTTCTTTCTAACACATTGTTGTCTCCTAACTTGAATTTCAGTAGACCACTGCTTAGCACTCAGCATTTAATGAATATTATTCTTGGTTCATTCTAAATCATTTTTCTATTTGGAAACAGTAGAGGTTATCCCAAATGATATCTTCTCATTCTTTTTTTTTTTTTTTTTTTTGAGACGGAGTCTCGCTGTGTCTCCCAGGTTGGAGTGCAGTGGTGCAATCTTGGCTCACTGCAAGCTCTGCCTCCCAGGTTCACGCCATTCTCCTGCCTCAGCTTCCCCAGTAGCTGGAGCACCCGCCACCACGCCCAGCTAATTTTTTTCTATTTTTAGTAGAGATGGGTTTTCACTGTGTTAGACAGGATGGTCTGGATCTCCTGACCTCGTGATCTACCCGCCTCAGCCTCTCGAAGTGCTGGGATTACAGGCGTGAGCCACCGCGCCTGGCCAATACCTTCTCATTCTTAGAATTCCCCTCATACCTGTGGATAGATGTCTGTTCCCCTAAAACTGCTCTTACCTGAACCAGTTCAGGACTTTTAACTCTAATTTTACATTCATTCTTTCAGTCCAGGTATTCTGCTTGTGTAACCCTCACGTCTTCTGTTTGCTAGTGTGTTTCTAAGAGTTTCTATGGCAGGTGCTCACAACCTCTTTTTCGTTTCCTGCCCCATCACAGGACGGAGAGGAACTCTCCCATCTTGTACTGTGGCTCACCTTGACACTGCTGCTTGGTGGCAGAACACTGTATCCTAATCCCCAGGAACAGAACTTGAAAATTATCACCCCCCAACCTCCACCCCCACAAGCTCAGGAGACTTTTCATCCTGTGCTTCTCCCCGCTACCTGTCTTAGTGATGGACTTAAAGACCAGCCTCTGGGGTCCCATGGCGTGTTTATTTTACTCTTCAGATGCTTTTGCCTTTGATTCCAAACCGTGAAGAAGATGTGATTAAGCTGTGGCTTTACCGGTCATAAACAAGTAGAACATTTGCATTTTGTTTTCCAGGCTCTTTGCTTTGAGTACCTTGTTGAATGCATGTTGCCCACGTTATGAGATTTATAACTTGATGGTTTAAATGACACTCAAATATGTTTGTCGTTTCATTTAGCAGTACAAACTTGGTCTGTACTTGCCAGCCATATTTTAATTCTTTTAGCTTACAGCTCTCTAGAAGCATGATTGTAATTTCCAGTCATTTTGACTTGTGGAGAAATGGGGAAAATGGGAATAACAATGGTGCTTTGTGAATAATGCGTGCTGAAGTGCAAATGAGCCTTTAAATTGAAAAGGGAAGGCATTGATGCCGGTCAACTCAGTTCTCAATATTTCTCTCTAGAAAGCGCTGTGATGGTTTTTATGGAAGAGAAAGCATCCTGGACTTAAAATGCATGTATATAATGAAAATGGTGCAAAAAATAATTTCAAATATGTGGAATCCTTGTGAATTGGAATTATATAGTAGATTATTTTGGTTAGCACCTATGGTAAATATGAAAGGGACATTTCCTGCCCTGCTTACACTGCCTTTGTTTCACTCTTAAAAAAAAAAACAAAATCAATGGAAAGGCTGCTAACTAATCTTGTTTATGCAATGCAGCAACTGCATTTGCTTTTTCCCTATATTTTTCTGCCCCCACTAAATGTTAACTATTGCAAAGACTGGTTTGCAGACTCTGGTTTTTCTGCAGATGTCTGCGTTTTTCTTCACAGAGCATCAGGAATAAATCTGCACTCAGGGTATACACTGGCTGTGATATAAACCTGAGCTATTGTTTGTCTTTTTCACAAGTCTCTACATTAGATTTTGGTGAGAACCCAAGTTGCCCCTCGAAGGGCCCAGAGAATCAGGGGTGTCACAATCAGCTCGTTCTCTCTGTGGATTTTTTAGTCCAGCCTGAAGCCTCCTTACTGTTCAGCTCCCCCACGGCAAACTCCTTCCCTCTCCATCGGCTACTCATTCAAGAATGCAAACCAATTTTAACATTATCCTAAGCAAACTCTGAGCAAGGCAAAGACGGTACATCTACTGGAAAAAATCACATAAGACATCCCAAAGGCAAATGCAAATTAGTTTTGAATTGCCTTTTCTTTAGGGATTATCTGCGCCATTGTTCCCCTCCATTAGTATGGATAATTATGAGTGAAATAGAAAAGTTGCTGCCTTCTCTGAAAAGAAATGTTTGCTTGGGCCGCTGTGTACATATAGGACAGCGAGTTGGGGAGGTGCTGTTTTGCTTCCTCGAAGGTGGCCATTCTGAAATGAACTGGTGCTATTGCTTTTGTGTTTCTAGACAGCCTATCGTATTTGTTTAGTAGAAGGCACAGTAGTGGTGGGGTATTTGTAGCCATAGTAGTATATAACACATTATATGTAGAGCCTAATGAGAGTTGAATATCAGGAACTGGCCAGAACTGTTTGAAAACTCCTCAATTATGACAGGCATACTGAATTCCTCTCTAACAACCATTCTTGCTTCCATGCCTCTTCTAAGAGACTATCATGTTCTCTTACTACCTTAGTTGTTCTTAAAGCTTGGCAGTGGGGGCCGGACACAAGGCTCACACCTGTAATCCCAGCACTTTGGGAGACTGAAGCAGGCGGATCACCTGAGGTCAGGAGTTCAAGACCAACCTGGCCAACGTGGTGAAACCCTATCTCTACTAAAAATACAAAAATTAGCAGGGTGTGGTGGAAGGCATCTGTAATCCCAGCTACTTGGGAGGCTGAGGCAGGAGAATCGCCTGAAACCGGGAGGCAGAGGTTGCAGTGAACTGAGATCGCGCCACTGCACTCTAGCCTGGGCGACAAGAGTGAAACTCTGTCTCAAAAACAAAACAAAACAAAACAAACAAACAAACAAAAATGCTTGGCGGTGGGGAACAGGGCAGCACCACTTCCTTGGCCCTGGGCTTTGAATATCTATTTGTGTGAGTGGAGGCTCCAGTTTTCCAGGTGTGGATTCCTAGTGAGTTTCAAATCCACTGAAGCTCTGGATAAATAAATAATAGACCTCACTTGTGTCATTCGTTTTTAAGGCTTACTTTCAATACTTCACACTTGTCCCTATTAACATTCAGTTTGCCAGATTGAGCCTATTCTCCTGGCAGTTTGTCTCATTTGTTTACTTCTGCCCACCTACATGTCAGCCAGGTGTCAGAGGCTGTATCCTGTGTGGATATGATCAGTGTGTGCTGTCCCCATGCCAGTCACAGTCAAGGATGGTGGAGACAACATTTCCTAACTGAAATCGGAGCTCAACCTACAAATATGTGGAAAGTGATCTTAGAGTCAAGGCGTGGAGCCTTGCTTGAGCTAATACTGATTTTTTTCTTTTCTAGAGGAAGAGAAACCAAACTTTTGATTCATTTCATTTGCTGATCTTGCTGGCAATGGAAATATTTACTCTGGTCTCATTGTGATTATTTTTTTCTGGCTATCGGGTGATAGCACAGCTGGCTTGCATGTGGCTGCCCATGTCCACCATGACTGCCACCTCTCACCTGGACAACTGCATGGCCTCCTCGCTGCACTCTCGGCTTCTAATATCATCCAGTATCATACCCTAGAATCCATTCTCCTTCCAGTAGCCAGAGCACTATATATAATATATACTATATTGTGTATTACTATATACTATATACTCTGTATTATATAGTATATTATATACCAGATATTATATACTATATTATATATCATAGTATATATACTATATATACACTATATATATTAATTTTATATACTATATAATATATTAATTATATATTAATTTTATATAATATGTAATATATTAATTTTATATAATATATAATATATTAATTATATATCAATAATATATAATATATTAATTAAATATCAATAATATATAATATATTAATTAAATATTAATTATATATAATATAATATATTAATTATATATTAATTTTATATAATATAATATATTGCAATATGTGGTGCATATAATGTATGTCTCAATTTGTATTATATATTGCTCTACCTGTTATTAATATGTCTCTCCTCTCTGTCATCATCTCATCTCTCTTATATCTGTAAGCTTATATAATTTTACTCTATGTATAATAGTATATTTTATATAGCCTGCTCCTATTAATTATATATTTTATATATAATATATTGGTCTATATTAAATTTATATAGCCATAATATAGCCAATTATATAATAGTATATAATATAATATATTGAATTATATATTAATTTTATATAATATAATATATTAAATTATTTATATAATATAATATATTGATTATATATTAATTTTATATAATATATTGATTATATATTAATTATATATAATATAATATATTGATTATATATAATATATTAATTATATATAATATAATATATTAATTATACATATTATATATTAATTATAAATATATATATTTTGAGATGGAGTCTCACTCTTTTGCCCAGGCTGGAGTCAGTGGTGCCATCTCAGCTCACTGCAACCTCCACCTCCCGGGTTCAAGTAATTCTTGTGCCTCAGCCTCCCAAGTACCTGGGACTACAGGCGTGTACCACCACACCCGGCTAATTTATGTGTTTTTAGTAGGGGCAGGGTTTTACCATGTTGATCAGGCTGGTCTCGAACTCCTGACCTCAAGGGATTTGCCCACCTTGGCCTCCCAAAGTGCTGGGATTACAGGCGTAAGCCACTGCGCCCAGTTGCAATACTTTTAAAATTTCACATTCAAGGCCCCCATGCTCTTAGATTATTAGGCTATCACTCAACCTCCTTGCCATGGCCCCAGTGTCCTGTCCCCATCTTCCACCTCCTCTCATCCATTCTTGTCCCCCATTCGCCAGACTCCAGCCATACGGCCTGTTGCCAACACCCACAAGCTCTCCACAGCCTCAGGACATCTGCTGTTACCTTTCCATCTGCCTGGAACACTGTTCCTGCAATCTTTCCACACATGCCTGCTTCTCATCCTTCAGGCCTCAGCTACCTTAGGCCTGCCCACTGCCCACCTTCATCCTACCTGCAGAACCCTGTTTATTTCCTTTATTGTACTTTTCACAGACTCTCTCTTACTTTTGTTAATTCTGTATGGGCTCACCTTCTCCAAGCCCCCACCAGAATATGAGTTTCAGGAGGACACTGGGTTTCAGGAACGTGGGTTTCCTGTCCACACTGTATCCCCAGCACCCTACACAATGCCTAGCACAAACAGCATCCCTGGTAGATAGCGTGGGATGAGTAAGTGTTATACAAATGATATGACCCATATGAAGAAAGATTTGCAATAAGGATTTATTGCAGCCCCAGTCTCAACTTGCTTTTCTAACTTGAGTTAAGTTCCCATTGCCAGAGTCCTGATTGCAGGCTGCTTGGGGGATATTTATCCTTGGAAACTTGGCTGTGATGACTTTGAGAGGCCCAGGAACTGGTTCTCTCTTGAGCAAGATTCAAAGAAGGCCTCTGCCTCCACCTGGGAATGGAGACTTTTGGGCCAATCTCAGAGGCTGCTGTTCCCATTTGAGGAAGGGCTTTTGTTCATAACCCCCAAAATGAAAATTCAATCGAGCAACCAGTTTCTTTTTTTTACTTTTTTAAAATTATTATTTTAATTTCTTCTTTTTTTAAAAAAAAAAGAGAACAGGATACACGTGCAGAATGTGCAGGTTTGTTACATAGGCATACATGTGCCGTGGTGATTTGCTGCACCTACTGACCCGTCCTCTAAGTTCCCTCCCGTCATCCCCCACCCCTCAACCGGCCCTGGTGTGTGATGTTCCCCTCCCTGTGTCCATGTGTTTTTATTGTTCAACTCCCACTTGGTTCTCTGTTCCTGTGTTAGTGTGCTGAGGATAATGGCCTCCAGCTTCATCCATGTCCCTGCAAAGGACATGATCTCATTCCTTTTTATGGCAGCATAGTATTCCATGGTGTATGTGGACCACATTTTCTTTATCCAGTCTATCAGTGACGGGCATTTGGGTTGGTTCCATGTCTTCAGCAACCAGTTTCAAATGTTGCTCTCTATATCACAAATTTAAAAACATGATTCTTTGTTGTTGTTGTTGTTGTTTTTAACTGGACAGCCAGATAGGTGGGAATCACGTGGGGATAATGTAAGCCTCTCTCTGTGTGTGCAGCTAGCAGTAGAATAAGCCTCTGCCCTGAGCCGAAGACTCCCCCAGTGCTTTTCTTTATTATGTGGTTAAGCTTCCCTCTGAGCTTGCAGTTCTCTGAATTCGTGAGAAAATGTAGACTTCTTTGAAAATTGCAGAGACAGGAAAATTGTGTTCACATGTTTGTTTTTATTATCTGGAATTGTGTATTTTCTGAATGGCGATCCTAAGCCAGTTGGAAATATCCCATGGTCGTTTATGTCACCCCTCTGCAGGCTGAAAAGTGTAAACGTCTAAACAACCAGATTCCTTTCCATGAGTTTTTCAACAAGAGATTAGGTTTTCATTTCTAGAGCTTTATTTTCTTCCGCATAATTAGCCAAATTTGTTAATGGTTAATCAGGGAATTGTGGACAACAGAGAGGGTTCTGCCTCTTTCACGCCTCAATGAGGAAAAAGGGCAAGGTCTTCACACGTCCAGAAGGTGACTCATTTTGTGTGCACCTGTGGGTACCATGGGGGCAAAGGTTTTTTCTTTTATAAGTAACGCATAGTTATCCCCATAAAGCATGCCTACAGGTATACTTACAAAGCCTGACAGTTTCTTCTCGTAACGTTTAAATGTATGAGAAATTGTACCTTTCCTGATACTTTATTTTTCCTTTTCCATAAGGTTTCCAGATATCTTTAGGAACACCTAAATTCGTGAATTAGCACAGCTGGGCAGCAAGAAGGAACACTGCTATAATACAAACATTTTTCTTGTAAAAATCTGTTTGGAAGATCCCGGACTGATGAGGATTTGTTTTATAAAAGATGTTTCCCTCAGGATTATGTGACTGGAAACCTGGCTCAAAGCATACTTTCGTGATTTTCTTTTGCTTTTGTCTGAAAGAGTGGTTATAACATGCAAGTTTTTACCTTGAAGCAGTGTGCGTAGTTAGCTCATAAACCAGCAATATCAGTCATCAGGACCAAAGACCAACTCAACCCCCACTTCCTCCAACTGCATTTTATGGCAGAAACAGAAGGCTTTGTTTTTTGTTTTTAATGTTTGCTTTTCGAGACCACCCTCCATAAACGGCTTTATTTCTCTTAAAAATGCGTTTGGAATTCTCCCAGTAATCCGCAGAAGAGTGCGAATGCTTTTTGAGGAAGTTTGATTAAAATGTGACCCACTTCAGGAGCCGCCTTTGTGGGGGACCGGGTTCCTATTTCTGCTGCCTGAATCATCTCCATTCATCCACTTCCATATCCACTTTCCATGTTCTCTCAACTGTTTCACTCTTACGAAATCCCTGTTCTCCAGGGACATATTGCAGTCTTATTTTTTCTTAACTCTATTTCTTTCTCTTTCTTTTTGCTCCTTTTTTCTCCTCATACCTTTCTCACTTCTCTGTTCATTAGTCTGACCGTTCCCTTTTCTCCAGACCGCCCCAGTCTTCCATTGCTTCTAATTAGATTTTTATATGATCATTTTAAAAATGATTTTACGGTTCCTGTTCAAAATGTATTCTCCTCCACTTTTCTCAAGTCTCAAAACAGGTACACTTAGACCATAAAGACAAAGGGAACAGCCACAATGCATTGAACTCCGTCATCTTCTCTAATGAGCTTCAAATGTGCTACACGTGGTCTGAAATACATGACCTTTGACTGGCTCCTGTTCTAGAGAGTGCATTGATTCTGTTTGTTTATGTGCTTGTTTTGTTTAACAGTCTTGACTTTTTCTGCTCCAATAATCCATGATTCAGCAGAAAGGTTAAACTCCTTTTTAAGGGTTTTCCAAGTGGAAATGGAAGCTGGTCACTCACGTTGAGAAGGTTTTACAAAGAGATGGTTGGAGCTGGGGTAAACTTCTAGATGGAATGGAGGCGTGGGGGGCCTGGTGGGAATGGGGGGTATACAGTCTCAACCTAAAGTGTTTGGACTGAGAGACACTGGCAGTGTTCCGGAAGCCCCAGAGTGGCATTAAGAGAGACTAAGTGCATGTTCACTCTTGGCAGCATAAAAGGGAGACCCTCAAGGCGACCAAATATGTGGAGCTGGTGATCGTGGCGGACAACCGAGAGGTAAGAACCTTTTGAAATTTCTCAGTATGGTTGTTGAGAGAAAAAAGAAAAAGGACATGTTCTGCAAGTTATTACTTGCTTTAATGAACCTCATTTCCTATGTGTTCTTAAAAGCAGTGGAAACAACCCATTGAAACAATGGTTTTCCGATTTTATAAAGTATACAATATTAAAAGTTTATTTGATCTATAAACTAATGGCAAAGCCTGCAGGAAAAAAACAGAGTTGCCCTATAGCTAAGCGCTCCAAACGAGGAGAATTAACTGAGGGGAATGACAGAAGGCTTTAGATTATATTCTAAGACATTTTGGGGAAAAGTTTAGTCTTTAAAATGACACATTAAAAAAAATCGCATATGTCATTAATCAAAATGAATGAATGAATGAATGAAGACTGTAGAGACACAGCAGAAAAATCCTCCCCTCTGAGCTATGGCTTGATACTACATCCATTTTTTATTTTAATTAATTTTGAATTAGTTTTTCTAAAGATTATCTTCTCTGTATTTACTTACTGCCTCAGTGGCATACATGAATTGGGTGATTGGGTAATATTTTCTCATAGACTCTTTCAACACATATGAATGAAACATAGGCTTGACTATTTTTCAGAAAACTATTCCCATTCTGGAAGGTCAGATTAGAGAGGGGAATGGGAAATTTGTTGATTTTTTTTTTTTTTTTTTTTTTTTGTCTATTCTCCTCTGGATTGTTTGACAAGTTGCCATGAGCTTCTATTACTTTTACTTTTTAATTTTTAAAAACAAATACAAAGAAAATTTCTCAGGAAGTTAAAATCAAGTCGATGATATGAAAAATGGCTTTGGGCTGACTTCTAGTTGTCTGTTTCCTCTTTGCCAAAACATGTCACTGCCTCCATCATTTATGAGGCTGGAAAATTGCAGAAGTTGCTGTCTTGAGAGCACTTGGCTTAGGCAAATTTCAGGGAATTTCAGGGAGTCCCCAGCCGGGAAAGTTATTCAGCAGGATGCAAGCTCATTTCACCATGAACTGTGGAGGGTCCCCAGTGGTTTGTAAAATCCCAAGACTTCACATTTCCAGGAGCCAGGAAGATGAGACATGATTGATATTCTTGCTGGTATTAATGCTGACATTTAAAATTGTTAAGTTTCAGAGGCAAGGAAAAGATCTGGAAAAAGTTAAGCAGCGATTAATAGAGATTGCTAATCACGTTGACAAGGTAAGTTCTTTTTCGGTAGTTAAATCATTCAGATCATGTAAATGTTTGGAAATGAGATTGGGGGACCTCATCTGACTTAGCAAGGAGATGAGATTCTGCCTCTGGGCCTTGGGTTGGAACTGTTTCCTGTCCTCTGAGTGTCTAATTCCTGGGTCCTGGGGCAGCTTCAGGAGATGCCAGACTACAGCTGTCTGGACTTTGGTGGCCTTGGGGACATGTCTTCCTCCAGGCTGTCTTCTGGTCAGGTGGAATACCAGTCTGAGGGTGTTTTGGACTTCCCAGTTAGCTCCAGAACCCCTACAGAGTTCATCTGAGCCTTTGGATTGCTCCTGAGCCAGGCCTCTCCCAGGTCTCCCGATGACAGATCCCACAGGCCCCTGCAATCTGTCCCCATCATTGCAGGCCTGTACCAATGTAACCCTGAGGGTGGGCTTGCATTTCTAAGGGATCCACAGGCTTCACCATCCTGGAACACAGGAGTTGACTTTCAGCTCAATCAGCTATTGGAAAATCCCTTGCTAAGAACAAATAGGTCAGAAACTCACCTTTCACAAAGATGATTTCCTTGCTGGAGGAGCCCCTGGAAACCGGGTCCTATTCCTGGGGTACTTGTTCACTAACCGCTCCTCACACTGTGGGCCGGCAAAGAAAATGGCAACGCGCTCTGTGTAAACCACCTGTCCTTCCTCAATGCATCCTGCTGGAGAGGATGTTGGCTGTTTGATGCTGATGACCCTCAGCCTAAAATAGGCTTCTTACAAGTCCCGCATATTGGAGTTGCCCTGGGAGCTTCTGAAAGCATTGCTGCTTTCAAGGGGCAGGGCAGGGGAGGAAGTTAGACCTCAGAATTTTCAGAAGCTCCCCAGCAATTCTCATGTGCAATGTGGATGGCAACCGCTGTCCTAAAGCAACCATAGTCTCTCAGGAATACTGAGTCTCTTGCCTGCGGGGACAGTGTGAGAAGGGATCTGGTCATGGCTGAGCCTTTCACAGCCATGGTCCTCTGAAACAGCAGATTTTACACACAGTGGTTTGTGAGGGTGCCTCACTCTAGCCTTGTTTCCAAGCCATCTTATTCGATTTGAATTGCATTTTCTAAGTTTTCAGAAAAATGAAGGCAAAGGCCCTTCCAGAAATTCGGCTCCATGTTGCAAGGCCTTATGCACTCTGCATCAATGATTCAGAATGAATCAGGTGTGGTTCTTCCACTTGAGAACGTCAAGGCTGGTAGGGAAGCAGGCACGCAACCTACATAGCACGTCCAAGGCATTAGGAACTAGATCCGTGCTATGAATGGAGGTTTATGGGGATGCAGAAGAGGATCGCTTACTTCTTCCCAGGGCCAGGGAGTCTTTGCAGGGAGAGGATCCTAAAAGGTAAGTTCAGTTTCACCATGAGCATAGCAGAAGAGGGAGTATGTGTGATGTGGACATGTATGTGTTTCGTGTGCATGTACATGCATGTGTGTTCCTATATGTGTTCATGTGTGTGTTCATACCTGTGTGTGCCCTGCATGCATGTATGTGTGTTTGTGTACATGCATGCTCATATTGTATGTAAATGCATGCATGCAGAGCTAGGGCAGGAGGAGATGAAGCTGCAAAGATTCACAGTGCTCAGGGCCCCGGCTGTTCTACGAAGCCATCTTGATGTTATTCTGCAGTGAATAGAGAGCTAGGTGAATGTTTTTAAGCAGGGGAGAGACACATAGGATGGTAGAAAGATATCCCTGCAGTTAGTGTGAAGGGTGGAGTAACCAAAGACAAATAGGGCTGAGAGGAGCCTATTGCATAGAAATGATAAGGGCCTGACCGGGAGCAGTGGCTCATGCCTGTAATCCTAGCACTTTGGGAGGCCGAGGCGGGCGGATCACGAGGTCAAGAGATTGATACCATCCTAGCCAACATGGTGAAACCCCATCTCTACTAAAAATACAAAAATTAGCTGGGCGTGGTGATGGGCACCTGTAGTCCCAGCTACTCAGGAGGCTGAGGCAGGAGAATTGCTTGAACCTGGGAAGCTGAGGTTGCAGTGAGCAGAGATCGCGCCATTGCACTCCAGCCTGGTGACAGAGCGAGGTTCCATCTCAAAAAAGGAAGAAGAAGAAAAAGAAGTGATAAAGGCCTGACATGACCCAGGGCAGGGGAAGTGGGGATGTGAGAAGGACGAGGATTGAGAGATGCTTGAAGGGATGTGTTTCCTGATTACTATTTTTACCAGTTACTGTGTGTCAGGCTCTAAGTGCTTTGCATATGGTCTCAGGTACGTACTATTGTTCCTATTTTTAAAGCAGAGGAAGCTGAGATGGGCAGAGGTTAGTCATTTGCAGGACGAGGGATGAGTGCTAGTCTTGCTGAACCCCAGCGGCAAGGGTTCTTGGCTTTGACTCTACTCCACCTGCTGTGAGTCAGGACCTCATGATGACCAAGCAGAGGCTGAGGGCGAGTGGGAGACCATGTGACCCCCAGTTTCGTTGGAGTGGAGAGGCAGGTAGATGATGCTTCATACCCAAGGAAAGCAGGAGCAGGAAGAGGAGTTCTGAAGGGCACTCTGAGCAGTCAGAGATGTGGGCTTGCCACTCAGAGAGAGGCTATGGCTGCATGGAACTTTCTGGAAGTCAGAAAAACCCACATGGCCATTGATATCTTGGGATGGTATTGCCCTTGTCCACCTTTGAAGTAGGTCAAACTCCCTGGCAACCCCTGCCTGTTGATGTGTTTTCAGTAGTTACTCTTTGCAGATTCAACTTTATCCCAAAGCCCAGGTGCAGGAGAATCCTGGTGAAAGGCGAGTCCTGGCAAGGGGATGAAGGGTGGATCTTAGAGGAGACATCGAAGATAGCGCAGCAGTTAGAACTGGACCTCGGTCTAGGCTGGACATTAGAACGCCTGGAGGGGAGTTTGTTTGTCTATTTGTTTATATGTTTACTTTTAGAAATACTGATTCCCACACCTTGGCCCAGGGATTCTGATTTGATTGACCTGGCGCGGGGCCTGGGTACAGATATTCTCCAGGGTCCTCCAGTTATCCTAACATGAAGCAGGACTGAGCCACACTGGCCTGGAGGGCGGAAGGCTTAGGTGTCTGAGCTGGGAGCGCAGGTGCCATTCCGAGGCGAGAGAGTTGGATTGTTGCCCGGAAGGCCTCGGGCTATCCTCAGACTGTCCAATGAGGAGAGAACACGAGTTCTTCTTAGACCTCGGGAGCAAAAGGAAATGATAAACTATATTAAACCCAAACTGAAAATTGCTGAAGCCCCATTTTTAAAAAGGGATGTGTTTGGGTCCTCTGTGTTTGTATTTCTTTACATTTATTCTAGGTTATATCTTGCTTCAGTTTGCAAAACCAAAAATGAGCAATTGGGGGTTTGTTAATAACTCGTACTGGTAATTAGAAAACATTGTACCTTGGAAAAGTCCTGACGGACTGCATGGAGTTTGCCAGCCTGGCTGTCCTTGTGTTTCTGGCAGGGGGAGAGCTGATTTGCTGAGCACACAGCTACCCCTGGCCCTGGCATCCCTGTCCATCCCCAGCAGATACCAAAGACCTTGGAGGAGATACCCAGACACCCTGGGAGACTTGGTGCTTCCAAGTCTATTAACAGATGACTCCCAACTCTGTTACACAATTCTCAATTTCAGTTTTTCAACTCTACAAATGAAAGTGTCTTATCCCAGAAAACAATGACTGTGCCAGTGGCAACTTCCTCATTTGCTAAAGTCTTGGCTCTCCTGGACCATTCTAAATTAATAACTGCTGGCTGTGTGGAGAAAGAGGACATCTCAGACTAGAAGACAGAAGAGTGGTTTAGTGACGAAGGTGACATTCTGGAATGTTCAGGAAAGTCCCCCATAAGCAAAACACAGAAGGCATGTTTGACACTCATGCTTCCAGGCCAGATGCTGAGAATTTTCCCTGGGTCCTCATTACATTCCCACAGGAGCCCGGGGAATGCACCTGCCAATGGAGCTATCGTGGGGTTTGCATCTTCCACCCTTCGCCTCCAGTCTGTCCTCCTTATTCATTAGGAAGCTAGTGTCAGCTGCAAATTCAGGGAACTGCTTCTGAAAGGACTCATTGCCTATGTATTTAATTTCTTTATTTTTTTCTTTCTTTTTTTTTTTTTTTTTTTTTGACAGAGTCTTGCTCTATCCCCAAGGCTGGAGTGCAGTGGCGCCATCTTGGCTTACTGCAACCTCCATCTCCCAGGTTCAAGCGATTCTCCTGCCTCAGCTTCCCGAGTAGCTAGGATTACAGGCGCCCACCACCAGGCCTGACTAATTTTTGTATTTTTAGTAGGGATGAAGTTTCACCATGTTGGACAGGCTGGCCTCAAACTCCTCACCTCAAGTGATCCTGCCTGCCTCAGCCTCCCAAAGTGCTGGGATTACAGGCATGAGCCACCATGCCCAGCCTCTGTGTATTTAATTTCTTAGGGTATTTTCACTCATGTGACAGTTTTCTTTCCCTCCTGTCCCAAACCAGTTGCCTGAAAGATGCAGTTTCCCTCATTAGACCCCAGGGGATTCTGCCTCACTGTTTCTTCCCGAAAGCTTCCAGTGCAGTGTCCCTGGACTTCCTATATGCACCACTGCTTGGCATTTCACTCTATTGGAGTTAACTGAACTGACAGCTCAGTGTGCCATGCCTTAAGCTCCTGGTGACCTCTGAGCATTTGGGTAGCAGGGGCGAGGGCATCCTAATCTTTGCTGTCTCTGCCACTGCCGGCCCAGCCCACAGCAAGAGGCAAGCAAATATTTGTTACTGTTGTGTAAACAGGTGAATCACTTCAGCTGGGTCTCTGACATATGTCCACATATGTTCTGGGCTTTGTAAGTCAGGCAGGCGGCTGCCAAGCTCCATTTGTACTGCAGAGGGCCGTGAGCTTCTCTCTGGGCCTGGGGTCACAGTGGGCCATCTTGGGAGGGAGTCTTAGCGCTCACAGAAGACAGCAGTGTTACCTAGTGGTTTCAAACATGAGCATCAGGGTTAGCTGGCCTGTGTTCCAACCCCAGCCATGGAGTCACAATCTTAAGTCACCTGACTTCTCCAAGCCTCCTTGTCTTTGACTATAAAATAGAAATAATAATAATTCTAAACTCATAGAGTTATTTTCAGGATTAAGCCACAGCACAGAAACCACCGTGGCATCATGTCTGTGATGTAGTAATGCTCACTAAACATTAGCTGTGGTGGTGGTTATTAGGAAGAATCAAAAGGAACCCGTCAGCAGCCCTGGAAAGAACTTTCAGAGCAGGCAGTAAAGGCATCATGTATGATGACTTGATGTGAGTTTAGCGTATATAACAGTCAAACAATGGCACTAATTTTGGAGAGGGGAGATTGTCTGTTATATTACTACTAAGTATGAAATCTGTTCTAAGGATGTGGTTTGAAAGGCCTAGTAGGTGGAAATGCAAAACCCATCATTATCATGAAAAGCTCCTTGATTAGGAAGCAGCAAACCTAGCACTGAGGAATGATGACAATTAGTCCTTTGCACACCTTCATTACTGCCTCCATGCAACACTCCTGGGAGGCAAACCTAGTGTCTCCTTCCCAGATGACAACCCTGAGCCCACGCAAGGTGTCTGACTCCGAGGACGTCTCTTAGCAAGCTGGTATACGCGTCAGCATTGGATCACCTCCGTTTCTGCTTTCTGATCACTGTTACCTTTGTATATAATAGAACTGAAAATGTAATCTCTCAGTGAACAGCAGCCAAACATGTGCACTGAGAGTTCCAGAGCCAGCCAGGAACTTATTTTTGCCCCGGAAGCCTGGGCTGGGAGTTTGCAAGTAGATGGCGTGGGCCATGCAATTCTTGATTGAAAACAAACTGTTGGACTGTGTTGTAGTCATGTAATTGTCTCGTTAACTCATTAATGTAATGTCTGTAATTGTGATCTGTTTGAAACCAAGTCGGACCAATGCAATCCGCATATATTCTGCAATGCAGTTTGTACCCCGGTCATATTCTCCTGCTAACCCAATGCTCACCAGATGACTGTGGGGACCAGCAAGGGAAAAGCTGAGCTTGCCTTATGTGGGTTAGAATCTAGGGTCAGATGTTCAACTTTGAGGATTTTCTTGTACTTTAGTTCACCATGTTGGAATGGTGCCTAACTAGCAAATGCAGAACTTCTATAAGTTTTGTTATTGGCCAGATGCTTCTAGCAACTTAGAATAGGACCTGCTTTTATCTGGTGCTTGGCTTTGGTTGCTATCACTAGCCACCCTTTTCTCCTTGGCTACCTGGGATCTCAGAAGATGAGGGCTTTCTCCCTGTGTGCTGCCTCATACACCACGGGCATTGAAAGATTTGACAGCCAACCAGGTGACACCATGTCCTCGCCCCCTCAGCCATGAGTACAAAGCCATCTCCTTGTCTATGTGATGCCTATGAGGACAGTGGGTAGGTCATACCTTTACCCTGACCACTCATGCTGGCCCTCTGAACTCCTATGAGACAAAGCCATCCCTTAGTCCCTGGAGGAGTTGCTTTTCTCTGCTCTGACCCAGGACGACCTGCCTGTAGGTGTAGTCACGTATGGGCTGTAGGCTGAAGTCAGGAACACCCAAAGATGGTGGGGGCAGGCAGGGGAGTGAGAAGTCTTGCTTTCAGTAGTGTGCCAGCTGCTTTGTTTCCCAGGCCCGTAAAAGAGGAACTTCATTTAACAGATCTTTCCATGACAGTGCTGGTGAGCTAACTTCTGGCTGTTGGGAGGACAGTCATTAATGTTCCTGAAGAAGGACTCTGTTTATGCCTTTGTTATTCTGAAAGATACTGACTTCTTCATTTCATTAAAACCTTCTACGTTGATTATAGGTGACAGAATATGATAGTGTTGGCCAAGGCTGAGACTTTGCTGAAAAATTAATACAGATTCATTTTCAGTAACTCACAAGCAGAACATTTTGCTCAAAATGAACAAGTTATTGTCCTTGGCAGAAGCATCTGAAAGATCCTAATTCACTTATTGTTTCACTCGCAGTGGATATTCACTGGCCATCTTTAGCTATAATATACATCTGTAGGCACATTTTAAATCATCAATGAATCATTTGAAATGAGTGCTTCCATACAAATGAGAGCAGACAGTACAAAGCTAATCACCTCAGCATCTAATTGGTCAACCTTCGAGAACCTAGTTAACGCATCACTTTGCATTAGGCACTGCAAATATTTCTTAAATTCCAACACCACAGGAACCAAAAAGCACAGAGATATTTTTCTCACCTGTGTCAGTGAACCTCAAATAACGCAAATCTGTTCTAATTTTCATTTCGAGTTTTCATTAACGTGATCCCAACTCCAATGCCAGTTTTGCCTGTTTCGCCCAGTTTTACAGACCACTGAACATTCGGGTCGTGTTGGTAGGCGTGGAAGTGTGGAATGACATCGACAAATGCTCTATAAGTCAGGACCCGTTCACCAGCCTCCATGAATTTCTGGACTGGAGGAAAATGAAGCTTCTACCTCGCAAATCCCATGACAACGCGCAGCTTGTCAGGTAAAGAGTTCCGTCTTCTGTCTGCTTAGAAACAAGAGTGCCCTCAGCAAAGCCCTTAGTTTCACCTGTACAGCCCTGGGAGCTGCCACCTTTCTGCAGAGCACACTGCCTTGTACAAGGGGGCTTCTCAGCTCACACCAGGGGGGTAGATGCCACCCTCACCTGAAACTGAAAGTCTGTTAGAAAAGTCTCCCTCTGAACACCCTGGGAAACCTGTCCCTCTACAGAATTTTCATTTCCTTCCTCCAGAACCTGGACATTTTATTCTGTACCAATTTTTCTGATTTTAGCTGTGATGTAAAGTTGTTCTGAGTAGCCTATTTTTTTGTTTTGTTTTTTGTTTGTTTGTTTTTGAGATGGAGTCTTTCTCTGTCGCCAGGCTGGAGTGCAGTGGCGTGATCTCGGCTCACTGCAACCTCCAACTCCCTGGTTTAAGCGATTCTCCTGCCTCAGCCTCCCGAGTAGCTGGGATTACAGGCAAGTGCCACCATGCCCAGCTAATTTTTTTTTTTTTTTTTTTTTTTTTTTTTTTTTTTTTTTTTTTAGTAGAGACAGGGTTTCACCATGTTGGCCAGGATGGTCTCAATCTCCTGACCTCGTGATCCACCCGCCTCGGCCTCCCAAAGTGCTGGGATTACAGGCATGAGCCACCACGCCTGACCAAGTAGCCTGTTTTTAAAGATTCATCATTATTAGTGGAAAATGCATGTTTACACAAGATCTAAGGACAGTACTTTGGGTGAATATTGTCAGATTCCTGGAGGGAAAAAAGACTTCACTCCTCCTCCTGTTGTGGCTGTGACTCTTTGGTTTTCTAGATGAGAGACTATCAGGAAGTATAGCACATTTACCTTGTGTTCCCTCTTTCAACCAATATGCATCGAGTACCTGTTAGGAACCAAACAGTGTTTCGGGGGCTTTGAACACCGTGGTGACCAACACTGTAAATCAGCCTGCTCTCAGAACTCTCCACTCTACTGAGAGACAAGAAGAAAGAGGACAGTTTCAGTGTAATCAACTGGAAGATGATAAACTAAGGGAAAGCATAGCTCTATTATAACTATAGCACAAAAATTGGTGGGATGTTGCAGATGCCTTTATACTTAAAAGGAACAATCTTACAACAATCTAAATAGGTATGAAGTAGATGTTTCTAGAAGCGACAATTTTTTTTTATTATACTTTAAGTTCTAGGGTACATGTGCACAACGTGCAGATTTGTTACATATGTATACATGTGCCATGTTGGTGTGCTGCACCCATTAACTCGTCATTTACATTAGTTATATCTCCTAATGTATACCTAATGCTATCCCTTCCCCCTCCCCCCACCCCATGACAGTCCCCGGTGTGTGATGTTCCCCACCCTGTGTCCAAGTGTTCTCACTGTTCAATTCCCACCTATGAGTGAGAACATGCGGTTTTTGGTCTTCTGTCCTTGCAATAGTTTGCTCAGAATGATGGTTTCCAGAGAAGCGACAAATTTTTATTTAAATCTTTAAATACTTTGTGCCACTATTCTTTTGTCGTCATGTGGCTTATAGCACAGAGAAGGACACCTTCTGGGACAGAGACTCTCTCCCTTGACAAACCCAAGGTAGCTATTGAACATTTGTGGAAAGTTAAAAAACCAGTCCTACCCCATTGTCACTTTAGAAAATGCCTACGTCTGAACTGAGGCTGTTGGCATTCCTTGATAATTTACTTTGGCCGTTTTCACAGGGGTCCCCCCTGCCCCCACCCTTGGATATTTGTGGTTGCCTCACGTTTTATGCATTGATTAGTCTTGAACTACTAAAAGTACATTTTGTGTATTTCGAGTCAGAGTGTTTTGATATTTTTCCCAAATGGAGTCTGTCCAACTTGAACATCTGGAAATAAATTATCATCTTATGTAACCTTATTATTTATATACGTGTATAATTGTATCTGTTCATGTAGTCTACATAGATGTAAATAAAGGCAGAAATTTCTACTACTGTAAATATAAGTATAGTGGAATAGGTAGATAGAGAGGCAGGGAGGGAGGGAGGAAGAGAGGAAGGGAGGGAGGGAGAAGGTTCTATATATACTTACCACTTTCTGTTCAATTGACCATAACTAAAATATCTAACTTTTCAAACAATATATCTGTATACATACATGGCCAAGAGTATTGGTAAGTCATTTGACTCCTTTAAAGGAAATTCAACAAATACAACGTTTTCTTTTTCACGCATGAGGTTGGAATTAACAGCACTTGTGTTCAACAGACCCTTGGTGTCATTAGAGTCATGATCAGGTTAAGATTCCAGATAGAAGGACAACTGCATTGAAGCCATGAAGTCCCCTTCCAGAAGCTTCCTGCCTAGGTGCCAATGTTTTGCGGGTGCTCACTTGTTCTACACTGGCTCCAGGGTTGATAATTTTCCTGCCAATTTCAATTTTGCAAGCTATCTCCGCAGGACATTTCGAAGGAGTTTTGGTGTCTGGCGGAACTGTAGTAAGTTATCCAGGAAAGCAGTTAAGCTACAGGGAAAATCTAGTAAACCATCTAATGCATTTTTTTTAGTTAACAGTGATTCTCTGTGACTATTTTCAGCCTTTCCATCAGCAGACATTGTTTAAATGGAGCAGCTTCCTACAGTCCATTAGGAAATAGGCAGATTACAACTCATAAGTACAAAAGTAATAACTGGTTGTCGTCTGAGTCTTGAAAACAAAACTCTAAAAGATGATGGAACCATGATGCAACTGCAGAAATAAAATTTTCAGGGAAAAAAGATAAAATCACATGTGAATATACCCTCATACAGCTGTTTTTATTTTTGCATATTTTATTGCAGGAATATCCAACAGAATTTTTAAATATTAGAGAATGCCCCCATTCTAATTTGATTAAAGAAAGTCCTCTCTTTTATTTCCTAGTGGGGTTTATTTCCAAGGGACCATCATCGGCATGGCCCCAATCATGAGCATGTGCACGGCGGAACAGTCTGGGGGAATTGTCATGGTAAGCCAAGGGCATCGGGAGCTGGTTCCCCTTGTTAATGATTCCCCAGGAAGTCACTACTTTTATCAGACTTTGTGAAGATAGATCCTTTCCTTTAATGCTTTTTAGATTTAACTCTGGTTTTACTCTAGCTGTATTTATAATTTTATATATCCCACAGTATTTTAGGAACTGTTTAAAAGCAAATTGCACACAGGAAAGGTGGGCGTGTAAAATATCTCTGCAGAGGCAAGCCTACCTCTTTTATGGAGAAACATTTTCAACCGGGACTTTCCAAACCAGGAATTCCAAACCAGGACTTTCCTCCCAGCACTGGGGTGAGCCAGGGCATTGGGGTTGCCCTCATCCTGCAGCTGTTGGGACGCCCTGTGGTCTCACCAGACATTCCCATTTGAATTTTTTTCTGATGGTTCTGTCTCCAAGCCCAATGGCCCAAAGTCTGAGGTTTTTAGCTCTTTACCACTGCAAATGCTTTACATACCTTCTGGCCAGTATACACTTTGTCTTTAAAATAACGTTATTCTTGGAAGTCAGAAACCCAGGTTTATTGCTTTACAAGGATCATTTTGTCATGTATAAGCTATATATGTTTGGGGAAGGAAATACAATGGGAAGACTATTTGGGACTCGTTATGAATGTAGGAGGGAGGTAGCTTTGACAGGCTTGCCCAGCAGGGGGCTTGTGCTCCACTTCATCAGATAATTAAAGGAGAGGTTTTCACCCTATGTTGTCCCCATTCTGCAAATTTAGTGTCTCCTCCGCACCAGACCTCAGACAGGGAGTATCCTCAGAGACCATTCCTCCATCTCCATTAAACAAACAGAACCCTGCCCTCCCAAGAAACTGTGAGTTCCTCCATGTTTTTTGAACAGAACATGTGTGAATGTTCGGTTGTATTACATGGTGGAAGGAGTTATGTTCTGCTGACGATTACTTTCTCTCCACATACTGCCTAACCAGATCTTCTTCATGAATATACGGAACCAACATTTCCCTCCTCTCTGGGTTCAGAGAGTGGTCATTCATGTAAGCCTGCACTAAGTGTCAAAGCTGCGTGGAGGGATTGCCCCCGCTTACTGGTTTCTGGCTTGAGCGGTGACTCCCTTGTTTTCTGTGGACCTGGAGGCCCTGCATGTGATCTCCACCATGGCAGTCCTTGGCACGTTTGGTTTTTGTTGATGCCAGGTTCATTTCAAGTCAGATCCCAACTCTTATTTTTACAGAGCAGACTGCACATTTTTAAGAGGCATAATTTTCTGTTTCATGGTTCCATGGTCTGTTGCTACTGACTTTGCCACTTAAAGTTGGCATCATATTTTTTTAGAGCTGAAACTCAGTTCTTCATAAGCGTGGTAAGTTCTGCTGCTGTGCAGTGCTGAAATGGGCCTATAACCCCTGTCACCATAGTAAGTGGCTTTCTTCAGGGCATGTCCCTTATTCTATTTCCATACAAGCATTTGATCAAAATTCCTTCTTTAGAAGCATACAGGGAAGCCTATTTTTTAAAAGATATATGAAAATGAATGTGGGAAATATAAGGAAATTTTGTGTAATGCAATAAGAATCAAGTGAAGATCAAAGTTAATTATCAGGAAATATGTTTTAACAATTTGACAGCAGCTAGCATCATCCTTAGACACACTGCTTACACGTACTACATATAACAGAAACATCAAATAGGATAAAAATGCCTCAGCACCTTTGATTTCTACAAAAGTCATGAAATCAGCAAGATCAACATCTTGACTGGACCTAACACTTCTAGACTCACTTTCTTTTCCTGTGTCTCTAAAGTTACATTCACAGGCATCCCGTGTGACTATGCTTCATTCGAGGACTCACAAATCTAAGAGGAAGGAAGCAATGTAGCAAGGAAGCAGAGATCCTCATAAAATTGAAAATAGGATTGTAGTGCCATTTCTGTATTTTTCAAAACACAGCAAATCATTAATTTTAGTAACTGAAAGTCATTCCTTTATAGCTAACTGGCCTAAAACAGCCTTGATTTGGAAATAATATTAATAGCATTAATAAAGAGATTTTTTTTTTCTTACTACAAATGTAAACTGTTTATCAAGGTCTCTTAAGAGACATTCTGTTTATAATCATTGATGCATGAAGGAATGTAAAACAATCTGGCAACTAAAAACCAAGATATTCAATGACACAAAAGAATCAGAAGAATATTTTTTAATGATAAATTCCTTGAATTTTGTGCCAGAGCATGCTAACTTCAGCCCCCATGTTCTTAGACTGACTACGTTCTCTTCACCATTGTGTTATTTTTGAGAACCGATTTCCTGAAACATATTTGTAAAGATTCCTACAACGGGAAACTCTAAAATCTATACAAAGTAATTTATTAGGAATTTCATCTTGGTTCCTTGACATGCCATTGTTTTCTTAGACTGAAGGCTTGTTGTAAACACTGTCAGCACACCTGTAAGATCTTGCATGAGCACACTTTTATCCAGGAGCCTCACACAGACTGTCTGTATCGGTGTGCTCTCTGAAATGCAGTATCATATTTGTTTTAGCCCATTTTCTGTTGATTCTAACAGAATACTTGAAACTGGGTAATTTATAAAGAAAGGGAATTTATTTCTTACAGTTACAGAGGCCGAGAAGTTCAAGGTAGAGGGGCACACCTGATAGGGCTTCTTGTGGGTGAGGACGCTCTGAAGAGTCCCAAGGCAATGCAGGGCATCACATGGCAAGGGGGCTGAACGAACTAGCTCAGGTCGCTCTTCTTATGAAGCCACTGGTCCCATTCTCATGATAACCCATGAATGCATTAACCCATTAGTCCATTAATCCATGAATGGATTAATACATTATGAGGGCAGAGTCCTCATGACCCAAACCCTTATTTTTTTTTTTTTTTTTTTTTTTGAGACAGAGTCTCACCCTGTTGCCCAGGCTGGAGTGCAGTGGCACGATCTCAGCTCACTGCAAGCTCCACCTCCCGGGTTCACACCATTCTCTTGCCTCAGCTTTCCGAGTAGCTGGAACTACAGGCGCCCGCCACCACGCCTGGCTAATTTTTTGTATTTTTAGTAGAGATGGGGTTTCACCGTGTTAGCCAGGATGGTCTTGATCTCCTGACCTCGTGATCCGCCCGCCTCGGCCTCCCAAAGTGCTGGGATTACAGGCGTCAGCCACCGGGCCTGGCCTGACCCAATCACTTCTTAAAGGCCCCACGTCCAATACCGCTGTACTGGGATTAAGCTTCAGCATGCGTTTTGGAGGGAACAAACATTCAAACCATAGCAGCACTGTTTCTTGGAAAACATCTTATCTCTTTCCTCAGTAGCACAAAGCAAGATTCAAACAAGGTACTTTCCTTACTCCATGGTATACAGGCCTTTTCAGAAATGTTTATATAGGCACTGTTTCGGTAGATCGTATACACTAATTAATTTCAGTTTGTAAAAGTTAAGTAACTATGTTTTTTAGTTAATTTCTAGTATCTGTTTGAGCCAAGCCATCCAGGCACTCCACTAAGTTAGGGGTGGCCAAGTAGTGCTTGCTGAATGGAGAAACCACCTTCCACATCCAAGCAAAAGGTTAATGAACCCCCAGTCACAAGAGTCAGAGAATAGGGACACCTCCCATTTCCAAAGTCTGCCTAGCAACACAAAGGGCCAGCAAGAATAAGATATAACTGGATTATAATCTTAAATGAATGGCTCTTCAAACAGATGGCTCCGTGTGTTCAGATTTATTATGAAATATTGTGAAATTTTCCAACTATCCTTCCCGACTAAGCACACAGGAAGAGGCAGGCTCAATGACAAGCTCTTAGAGCTCATTTAAAATGTCACAAAGCGTGCTTGCACCTGTCACCTTTGTATCAGCATCATCTCAATCAAGGGTAAAATGATACTTCTGTTGTCCATGAGGGAATGAGCTTTTCCTGTGATATAGGATGACTTTTTGCTTCATTCAATGGAAGAGTTTTATGGGGCAATTGTAGGAAGCAGGATGGAGACCCTGCCTTGAAGATGTCATATAAAAACATAAAGAATCGCACGTGTATACCTGCGGCATACAGACTCCTCAGCAGAAAGGACCCCAGACTGGCTTAACTGAAGTGTCAAATTATATCTTTTTTAAGTTTAAACTAAATGATAGCATTTTACCTTGGTCCCTTATAAGGAATTACATTAAGTCAAATGTTAATGAAAGGTATATTTCTGTGGGGAGGGAGGCCTGGGAAAGAAGGCCAAGGAGACATGAATTATACACCTGTGCTTTTGTGTTTTCTTTGAGGACCATTCAGACAGCCCCCTTGGTGCAGCCGTGACCCTTGCACATGAGCTGGGCCACAATTTCGGGATGAATCATGATACACTGGAGAGGGGCTGTAGCTGTCAAATGGCGGCTGAGAAAGGAGGCTGCATCATGAACCCTTCCACCGGGCAAGTACCCATCGCTTCCATCTGCTTTGAGAGTTGTGCATAGCTTGAAGTGTGTCTTGGGAACCAGATGAGTCCCTGGTTTTCTGGTCAGAGCACCCAGGGAAGCTTCCAAAAAGTAATTCCTTCCCAAGTAGCAAGAGTGGCCTGTGCTACTCCAGAGAGCCATGGGCAGCCAGATGGCAATGCTACATGGTGTGAGGGCTGACCTCTTCCTTGAGGAATGGTGGGGATGGATGTTGTCTGTGTTTAGAAATCGCTAATTATCTTCCTGTCCCAGCAAGTGTTTTTTATTTGAGCCTGTGGCTCCAGCTGCCAGGCAGTCCCAGGAGGCAGCCATCTGAAAGCCTGGGCAGAGCGGAGATGGGCCACATGTAAACTCACTGGGCAGAGCTGAGATGGGCCGCATGTCTTTAGAGGGTGCTGGGTAGAAGGTGTTTCTTTCCCTGGGGTTGGCCCTAGGGTATCTCTGAAGTCAGTAGCTTAGGGGTTTGTGGTGTCTCTGCCTCTGACATCATATCACCTTACCAGATCTTAGAGATTTAAATGAAATGATTTATCTGCTTTGGTAAATTATGATGCTCTTCCTTATTTAATGCTTTCCTGACTCTCCAGACTTGGCTCAACCAGAAAAAAGCAAGATGGTTCTGTTATTTGGAGTGATCAAATGAAGTGGAAACAGATGCACCTTGGATTAGAGATTAGATGATTAGATTGATTAGAGATTCAGATGTGTTCTTATATCTCTAAAGAGCCTATCCCAAACTAGAACTCTGTGCTAGTTTAAGAAGATTCTCATTAGTAAGGGGAAGCATGTGTTGGATACAATGCTATCTTCTTTCTTATACCTTGAAACCTTATAAACACTGACTTTCATGGAACGTTCCAACCCAAGCTTGCTCTCTGGGTTTCCTGAAAGGAGACACTGGGATGAGAGATAAGTGCTGTGAGCAGCCGTATGACTCATCTCTGTGAAGACTTGCTGGCCAAGGGACAAGCATGGTGTGAGGGGATACCTGCTAATGCAGTTTAAAAGACCCAGTAGAGGAAGGAATTTTTAAAGAATGTGTCTGTGCTTTTTCAAGCAATAGCCTTGTGGGCCTCCTGGGAAATCGTTTGTAGGGCATTGAGTTGCCCTTGAAACAAGGACTGGATAGAACCACACAGCACATCAGGGTATTGTCATTTCATGCGAGCCATCAGGAGGCATCTTCTCACAACAAGTGACTGATTCTTCATGCTCATCGCCCCCATTTGCACAGAGCCTTCAGGGGCATCTTTCTGCTTGTGGGTCCCTCTTAAGCATAATTCAAGGGAGTCACCAAGTCTTTGTGGAGGAAGTGGTTCTGTGAGTGTGTAATGACAGAAACCAAGGATCTGTACACAAAGTGAAAGTACCAACCAATGGGAACTGAAATATTGCAAAACTCAAGATACTAACAAAAGTGTCTCTCCAAAAGGGAGGCCACCCTAAAAAGTAATATGTTCCTAAGTCACTAAAAGTGTCTGAGCAGAGGCACAATAATTGTTTGCTGGACATCTGGGGCAAGGATTTCCTTTTTAGGGTATAAGGTTGGGCCAAGGACCTGTAAATGCCTTCTGTTTCCAACATTTCACAAGCCCTGATTGCGATGCTGGGCCACGCACTGGGTGACTTTCAGAGAGTGAGTTTGGCAGGAGACTGACGTGCAATTGAGCGGCCTTCATGTTTTCTCCCCCTTGATAAACTCATAGCCATAGAAAATGCACTCTGTGTCTAATTTCCCGATCATCAAACGGGCACAAATACATTAGCCTATGGGCCTCCAGAAATGGTTTCCCATGACTAAGAAGATCATATTGTTAATACTGTTAATGTTTTTTAATTATTGATAAACCAATGGAAGACAGGAAAATCTAGATCAAGAACACTGGACTTGAAGAGATCTGGTTGTCCCCATTCTCACACCATTTAAAAAAATAATGTAGGCAGATTAGTAACCCCCTGGCTCTTACATTCCTCATCAGTAAGATGAGTGAGTTGGTCTTCATCCATCCAACCATCCATCCATCCACCCATCCACCCATCCACCCTTCCTTCCTCCTTTCTTTCCATCTGTCTCCCCACCCACTTGTTCACATATTAAACAAATATTTTTGACCCCTGTGCTTGTGGGGAGGAATGCATAGATGAGGAAGACTCTACAGCTCTAAAAATTACATAATTCTGAAGGCACAATAGCAAGGTATATTTTCTGGCACTCTATATGGTTTTATCTAAATCCTTTCCAATTGGGAAGTCTTCATGGCAGTGCTGAAGAATGCAAGTCAGATTGCCCCGGAGATATTTGAACACCATAGGTAGAAATGGTATTGTTAAGAGCTCAGCAAATCATTTAAAAGCCTTTTTTTCCCCTTACCAGGGGTTTGCTAATAGCCTTTATTTGATTTATACCATATTAGCAATTTCTGAGTTTTCTCTTTTGCTGAGCTTGTGCTTTTGTGTAAATCTTTTCTATTTGCTTCTCATTTATGATCCCACATTCCTGTCCAGAGAGTGGTGTTTTTAATTTTCTCAGATGGAAAGCAACTTCCTAAGCAAGTAGGTGAATTAATCACAAAAGCCCACAGTGAGGGGGAGGTTGAGCGGCCCAGTCAACCCTCAGTCATCCATCACCCGTGGTGGAGATTTCCCGGCTGCTCCGGTATTATCTCAAAGTGGTGGTTCTCTTACTTCATAGTGTCTCCGAGAGAATGGGAGAATGGACTCAATGAGATCACATGTCTGTAAATTGTAAATCATTCCACAAAGGTGGTATATTATTACTTAGCTTACAGGGATGTTGGAATTATCAAAAAGTTAAAGACTTTTTTCAGAATTCCTACTCATCATTGCTGGAAAGACTCCCAGTGCCCTTAGCAGTCACTCAGCAGCATGTCCACAGTTCCTGTGTGATGGCTCATTTTAAACTGGCCCACATCCAAACACCAGCCTGCCTCTGTCTTCCTCCTCCCACCACTGATGGAGGCTTGGGGATGTCAGTTAAATTCAGTCTCAGCTCCAAAGGTGATTCAGAGACGAATCAGTAACTGCTTTAATGATATTAACATCTCAGAATCAAAAAGAACCAAGTATTGTAGATGGCTTAAAGGCGAAAAGTATATCCCCTCATATACCTTGTTTATTCTTTATCAAAACATTCCAAAATCCTAACTCTGACAACATTAACCAACTGCTATCACTGACAAATGGGACCTGAGGCCTGTAAATACGAGGATAGAGTCCTATTTCAACTTGAGTCTTACGTGACTTCAGTTGCACATTGCAGGGATGGTTGGAGGGGGTTCCTTATGGATTGTATCATTAATTACTGCAAGGCTTTAAGTGTGTGTGAGAGTGTGTGTTTTATGTCTCTGAACATTTAAGACCTGTCTTGGAAGTGACTCTTTGGCAAAAGCAGTATCTGGGGATTCATGTGGGAGTTTAACTCAGTTGAGTTTATCCATTAATGAGCTCGGAGTCCTTGGTCTTAGGGAGGTGAGGGTTACGTATGCTGCATTTATAGGAGTAAGAAAATTGTGAATGATTTGAACACTCATAGCAAAGAATATTTACCATAATAGTAAATGTCACTTCCTAGAGTAGGAAAAAAGGCAATATTAACATTCAAAAAATTACTCTTACAGATTCCTTTTTTTTTTTTTTTTTTGGCAGAAAGTTTTCTGTTAAATGAGAGTTGGAAGAATAGGGCCATCTCCTCAGGTGGGGCACGTGAATCTGCAAGTCATATTCACTGAGTACCTGCCACTGTTCCACACTGACAGGTGTTAGGGACACAGCTGTGAACAGGTCAAGCATGTTTCTTGCCTTCATGTAACTGGTGTTCTAGTGGTGAAAACAGCTGAAAAATAGAAAATTTAAAACTTGCAGTTTGGGCCAGGTGCGGTGGTTCACACTTGTAATCTCAGCACTTCGGGAGGCCAAGGCAGGAGGATTGCTTGAGGCCAGGAGTTCAAGGCCAGCCTGGGCAACATAGCAAGACCCTGTCTCTATTTTAAAAATAAAAAAATAAAAGTAATAAATTGCAGGTTGGAAGGAGTACTGTGAAGAAAGCAAAGGAAGAGGACAAAGAGAGGAAACATGGACTGGGGGAGCCCACTTTAAGTGGGGGTTTGAGGGAGGCCAAAAGGAAGACAGGGATGGAGAGCCTGCAAAGCATGGAAGGAAGGGAGTTCAGGTGCAGGGGACCATGGGCCCGTGGGCACTGTGGGGACACCTGGCTGCCAGGAGCCTTGGGGCTGTGGGGGGCTGGAGGGAAGTGATGCTGGGTAGAAATGGAGGAACCGGAGCCAGCAAAGCCCAGTTGGCCAGAGCAGGAACGTGGATTCTTATCTGCAGAGCAGCGGGACATCATTGAAGCTTTTCAGGCAAGATAGGAGTATGATCTGATTTATCTTTTAAAGTTTCTTCATTTTTAAGGAGACCATGCAGCCTCTGAGATACTGTAGTTTGCCAAGTTAAGGGGTTTTCTGTCTGTACAAAGAAGAGGGAGGCTTCCTGTAGAAGAACAAGTAATACTGGTATATGAATTCTAGTTTAATTTCGGTGTAATTCATAGGCATTTGGAAACGATGAAAGGAAGGGTCCTTCACTAGCACACTAGGTCCTCATCACGCCACGCTCCACACTCCCCTCTCCAGCCCTGTACACTTGATGTAAAATCTTTCTTTTGGTTTGAGATTTCTTTTTCCTTTTCCTATAGTGAGCATCCTTTAAGGATTCTATGTCAGAGAGCCACCAAAGAGCACATTCACATTTTCTCTGTGTGTATCTGAAAAGAATTGTTGCCACAGTTGCCACACAGATGCTGAAATCAACAGTTTGGGCCTGTCTGGGTTTTGCTAGGTCTATACTGGTAAATGGCTTCAACTGATGAGCGTGTCTCCAGCTGCCAGCTAGGAGTAGGGGGAGGGGAGCAGCATGTTTGTGTGGTGCATTTAGGATAATGTAGGATGAGAAAATA